AAATATCTCCCCCTGCTGGAAACACACTGTTTGCACTGGAGAGCCCAATCAAATCATGTGCAGTACTGTAATACAGTAATGTGCTCAGTGAGCAAAGGCTCTATGACATCACCGATGCAGACTGTGATGACATCATCGGCAACGTCATGCAGAATGCGATGACATCATCGGTGACATCACAGAGCCTCTCCAGAAAGTTTGCAAATAGACCATACATATTTTATAATTTATAATGTTTCTATGTTGTCTTTCTTTTTCAGGAAGGAAGTACGGGACACCACATGAATGCAGCACAAGTGCTCCAATCTTGTAACGTAACGTAGACAAAACTGACATGCAGAATGCGATGACATCATCGGTGACATCACAGAGCCTCTCCAGAAAGCTTGCAAATAGACCCCCGTTCCTCCACAGAGTTTACGTTTTTTGACGATGCCAAGCAAACGCAGACAAGCCGCTCGCCCCGTGCGCAGACGCAGGAGACCTCAGAAGTCCCACGCTGCTCGCAGACGCAAGAGTGGTCCGACGCAGACGCTAAGCAACGACAGGAAACATGTAGTACAAGCTTTTAAAAAGGTTGTGCCTTTTTATAAGCTTGTGCTACATTTTTAATGGTCTTTATGACTATTGCAAACTTTCAGGAGAGGCTCTATGGCTGCAACCTTTTTGACCAAAGGAGCCATTTTGCCCCCTTTTCCACACATTTAAAAAAATTTAAAAAATCCAAAAAAAAAAAAATCCAAAAAAAAAATTTTTTATTTAAAAATGTTTGCGTTTCCTGTCGTTGCTTAGCGTCTGCGTCGGACCACTCACTCTCTTGCGTCTGCGAGCAGCGTGGGACTTCTGAGGTCTCCTGCGTCTGCGCACGGGGCGAGCGGCTTGTCTGCGTTTGCTTGGCATCGTCAAAAAACTTAAACTCTGTGGAGGAACGGGGGTCTATTTGCAAACTTTCTGGAGAGGCTCTGTGATGTCACCGATGATGTCATCACATTCCGCATGACATCATGGCTGATAACGCATGATGTTGCCGATGATGTCATTGCCGAGGATGTCATCACAGTCTGCATCGGTGATGTCATAGAGCCTTTGCTCACTGAGGATCAAATGACATCATGCAGAATGGGATGTCTTCATCAGTGACAACGTTATCAGCCATGATGTCATGCGGAATGTGATGACATCATCGGTGACATCACAGAGCCTCTCCAGAAAGTTTGCAAATAGACCCCCGTTCCTCCACAGAGTTTAAGTTTTTTGACGATGCCAAGCAAACGCAGACAAGCCGCTCGCCCCGTGCGCAGACGCAGGAGACCTCAGAAGTCCCACGCTGCTCGCAGACGCAAGAGAGTGAGTGGTCCGACGCAGACGCTAAGCAACGACAGGAAACGCAAACATTTTTAAATAAATCTTTTTTTTTTTGGATTTTTTTTTTTTTTGGATTTTTTTAATTTTTTTAAATGTGTCGAAAAGGGGGCAAAATGGCTCCTTTGGTCAAAAAGGTTGCAGCCATAGAGCCTCTCCTGAAAGTTTGCAATAGTCATAAAGACCATTAAAAATGTAGCACAAGCTTATAAAAAGGCACAACCTTTTTAAAAGCTTGTACTACATGTTTCCTGTCGTTGCTTAGCGTCTGCGTCGGACCACTCTCTTGCGTCTGTGAGCAGCGAGGGACTTCTGAGGTCTCCTGCGTCTGCGCACGGGGCGAGCGGCTTGTCTGCGTTTGCTTGGCATCGTCAAAAAACGTAAACTCTGTGGAGTAACGGGGGTCTATTTGCAAGCTTTCTGGAGAGGCTCTGTGATGTCACCGATGATGTCATCGCATTCTGCATGTCAGTTTTGTCTACGTTACGTTACAAGATTGGAGCACTTGTGCTGCATTCATGTGGTGTCCCGTACTTCCTTCCTGAAAAAGAAAGACAAAATAGAAACATTATAAATTATAAAATATGTATGGTCTATTTGCAAACTTTCTGGAGAGGCTCTGTGATGTCACCGATGATGTCATCGCATTCTGCATGACGTTGCCGATGATGTCATCACAGTCTGCATCGGTGATGTCATAGAGCCTTTGCTCACTGAGGATCAAATGACATCATGCAGAATGGGATGTCTTCATCAGTGACAACGTTATCAGCCATGATGTCATGCGGAATGTGATGACATCATCGGTGACATCACAGAGCCTCTCCAGAAAGCTTGCAAATAGACCCCCGTTACTCCACAGAGTTTACGTTTTTTGACGATGCCAAGCAAACGCAGACAAGCCGCTCGCCCCGTGCGCAGACGCAGGAGACCTCAGAAGTCCCACGCTGCTCGCAGACGCAAGAGAGTGGTCCGACGCAGACGCTAAGCAACGACAGGAAACATGTAGTACAAGCTTTTAAAAAGGTTGTGCCTTTTTATAAGCTTGTGCTACATTTTTAATGGTCTTTATGACTATTGCAAACTTTCAGGAGAGGCTCTATGGCTGCAACCTTTTTGACCAAAGGAGCCATTTTGCCCCCTTTTCGACACATTTAAAAAAAAAAGAAAAATTCAAAAAAAAAAAAAATCCAAAAAAAAAAAGATTTATTTAAAAAAGTTTGCGTTTCCTGTCGTTGCTTAGCGTCTGCGTCGGACCACTCACTCTCTTGCGTCTGCGAGCAGCGTGGGACTTCTGAGGTCTCCTGCGTCTGCGCACGGGGCGAGCGGCTTGTCTGCGTTTGCTTGGCATCGTCAAAAAACGTAAACTCTGTGGAGGAACGGGGGTCTATTTGCAAACTTTCTGGAGAGGCTCTGTGATGTCATCGATGATGTCATCACATTCCGCATGACATCATGGCTGATAACTTGTCACTGATGAAGACATCCCATTCTGCATGATGTCATTTGATCCTCAGTGAGCAAAGGCTCTATGACATCACCGATGCAGACTGTGATGACATCCTCGGCAACGTCATGCAGAATGCGATGACATCATCGGTGACATCACAGAGCCTCTCCAGAAAGTTTGCAAATAGACCATACATATTTTATAATTTATAATGTTTCTATGTTGTCTTTCTTTTTCAGGAAGGAAGTACGGGACACCACATGAATGCAGCACAAGTGCTCCAATCTTGTAACGTAACATAGACAAAACTGACATGCAGAATGCGATGACATCATCGGTGACATCACAGAGCCTCTCCAGAAAGTTTGCAAATAGACCCCCGTTACTCCACAGAGTTTACGTTTTTTGACGATGCCAAGCAAACGCAGACAAGCCGCTCGCCCCGTGCGCAGACGCAGGAGACCTCAGAAGTCCCTCGCTGCTCACAGACGCAAGAGAGTGGTCCGACGCAGACGCTAAGCAACGACAGGAAACATGTAGTACAAGCTTTTAAAAAGGTTGTGCCTTTTTATAAGCTTGTGCTACATTTTTAATGGTCTTTATGACTATTGCAAACTTTCAGGAGAGGCTCTATGGCTGCAACCTTTTTGACCAAAGGAGCCATTTTGCCCCCTTTTCCACACATTTTTAAAAAATTAAAAAATCCAAAAAAAAAAAAAATCCAAAAAAAAAAAGATTTATTTAAAAATGTTTGCGTTTCCTGTCGTTGCTTAGCGTCTGCGTCGGACCACTCACTCTCTTGCGTCTGCGAGCAGCGTGGGACTTCTGAGGTCTCCTGCGTCTGCGCACGGGGCGAGCGGCTTGTCTGCGTTTGCTTGGCATCGTCAAAAAACTTAAACTCTGTGGAGGAACGGGGGTCTATTTGCAAACTTTCTGGAGAGGCTCTGTGATGTCACCGATGATGTCATCACATTCCGCATGACATCATGGCTGATAACGTTGTCACTGATGAAGACATCCCATTCTGCATGATGTCATTTGATCCTCAGTGAGCAAAGGCTCTATGACATCACCGATGCAGACTGTGATGACATCCTCGGCAATGACATCATCGGCAACGTCATGCGTTATCAGCCATGATGTCATGCGGAATGTGATGACATCATCGGTGACATCACAGAGCCTCTCCAGAAAGTTTGCAAATAGACCCCCGTTCCTCCACAGAGTTTAAGTTTTTTGACGATGCCAAGCAAACGCAGACAAGCCGCTCGCCCCGTGCGCAGACGCAGGAGACCTCAGAAGTCCCACGCTGCTCGCAGACGCAAGAGAGTGAGTGGTCCGACGCAGACGCTAAGCAACGACAGGAAACGCAAACATTTTTAAATAAATCTTTTTTTTTTTGGATTTTTTTTTTTTTTGGATTTTTTTAATTTTTTAAAATGTGTGGAAAAGGGGGCAAAATGGCTCCTTTGGTCAAAAAGGTTGCAGCCATAGAGCCTCTCCTGAAAGTTTGCAATAGTCATAAAGACCATTAAAAATGTAGCACAAGCTTATAAAAAGGCACAACCTTTTTAAAAGCTTGTACTACATGTTTCCTGTCGTTGCTTAGCGTCTGCGTCGGACCACTCTCTTGCGTCTGTGAGCAGCGAGGGACTTCTGAGGTCTCCTGCGTCTGCGCACGGGGCGAGCGGCTTGTCTGCGTTTGCTTGGCATCGTCAAAAAACGTAAACTCTGTGGAGTAACGGGGGTCTATTTGCAAGCTTTCTGGAGAGGCTCTGTGATGTCACCGATGATGGTCTGCAACCTTTTTGACCAAAGGAGCCATTTTGCCCCCTTTTCCACACATTTTTTTGAAAAATAAAAAGTCTCGGAAGTTTAAAAGCCATTTTAGATGTATTAAAGCACCACAAAGCTACCGTTAAGTAAAACTCACAGGATTTAACGTGCCGTGGTGTGTTTGTGTGTGTTTCTCTCCCTCTCCACCCATGATTCTCTCCCTCTCCACCCATGATTCTCTCCCTCTCTACTCATGATTCTCTCCCTCCAGGTGCTGCCTCTCCCTCAGTTGTTCTCAATCCCCAGTCAGGGCCTGCCTAAGGCCTGAGGAAGGCTGGAGCACTCGCACTTCGTTCTCCTCTGAGCTGCATGTGGGACCAGTGCAGCCTGTGGGACGTGTTTAATAGTTGTTGCTAGTTTTTGGAGATGTGCTCCAGTGTATCTTTTTGCATTGTTTACGTTTATCACATTGACTTTTGGTTACGTAGATCAGTTTCCTCTATCTTTTTTTCTCCTGGTTATTTTATATGTTGTCACTTCCCTTTTACCCTAGACTATTAGGGAACGTAACAAAGGGAACAACAGGAGGAAGGAAAGAGACATGGGGGGGTGCAGGGCTTCAGGAGTGTCTCATGTGATTCTGTGTCCCAGCACCATCTCTGAGGAGAGAGAGAGAGAAAGAGAGAGAGAGAGAGAGAGAGAGAGAGAGAGAGAGAGAGAGAGAGAAAAGTAGGCTGTAAAGGATAAAGGGGTCAGTCCAGGGATTGTCCTCGAAAGGAGAGGAACTACTTCTGTATGTGTGTGAGGGTGATGAGTGTGCATGTTGTGTTTGCCTTCTCTGATGTTTGAGGTCGTTTGCTTCCCCCTGTACACAGAGGACATATTAATATTTCACCGCCATGAGTCGGACCACCTTTTTTGAGGTAAGCATAAATGTATGTAATTAAGGTACGTGCCAGAAATGTTGATTAACTGAAACTTGTCATGTCCACTTTGACAAATAATTTTAAATTGGTTTATTTGACAAGGCCTCAAGAGACTGACTTTAATGTTGCAGTGGTCAAGCAGAACTGGAGAAATCATGAGTAATGTTGCAAAGAAGTTTAAAGAGTCAGTGTTTGTGTCAATGTAAACTGAGGTGGATTTTCCTTTTGTATTCAGTGTCCTGTCTCAAGTTCATCAGCTTTTACTAAGTAGAGAAATGAATGCTAAGAGACGGATTTATAGACACCGTGAAGGGAGAAACTAGATAACCTTTGATGTTGAATGTCGGAAAAAATACCACTTTGAATATAAAGAGTTCATTTGAAAACCACTTTACCCCTCACCTACACAAATCCCTCTCAATCACGCATGCACATGTTCTGTATGACCTGTGCTGTCAGCAAAGCCTTCGGTTCCCATGAGAGGACAGGGGCGTCTGATAATCTGATTTACAAGGACACAGCACAACTGAGTGCACACGGTTCTACAACACACCACCCTAATGACATCCTTAGTCTCTCTGTGAACACGCAGATGCATCAACATGTGCTCCTAGAATGCATTTGGGAAAGGTATACCAGATGGAAAGCAAAACAAAGCCGTCTCCCAGGGTGCCCTTTACTGAAACATCAGCATGGCTTGTGCTCTGCTCACACCCTGCAAAGCATGAACACACTGCAAAGGCTTAGATACAAATGTGCAATACTCTAGGTGAGTGTCATTTCTATTTAAAGAGTGCAAGTCAATTTCTTTTTTGAAGATGTACAAATGAAGGGGAGGTTGCTACTGATACAAATCAAGAAAGAATCAATGACTAGGTTACGGTAAATTAGCATGGCAACAAGATTAAAAGACTTGCGAACATGTGTTATTTTTGCAATGCACATAGCAGATTGCATAACGCTCTCTCTTTACCTCATCTGTGCACTCAGCAGATCTTGAGGTATCCATTAGTGGGTTGTTACACTGTGCAATAAGGGAACCTATTTAGCTAGGACAGCTCTGCTGAGCAGCACAGTAGGGAGTGCTTTCAGAGCAAATTGTGGGATGCCACCCACCACCCTCCTAGCAAATGCTGTACATCACCACTGACATGGTTTAATTAAGAGGAAAAAGATGTGAGCAAGAGAGCAGCAGGACAACACTCATCCTTTTCCCTCTATCAGACTCCACCGGCCTTATTATTCAGATTGAGATGTTGTACTTGATCAGGAAAACTGGACACTTGGCAGCATACTCTAGGTCCCCTGATGAGAAGCAATATTGTAGTATTTTCATAGATATTTCTATGGTTGACTCAATCATACAAAGGTATATCAAATCATGCATGCTGCAAAGTACAAAGCTGATATGTATTGCAGTATATGTGTCAATAACATGAATGTTTTAAAGAGGCTGACATATAGATCCTTTGTATAAGAAGAAAAGTTCTACGTGGCTTATGAGAAAAACGTAACTACATAAATCAGCAGAAGGTGTTTGAAAACAATCTTTTATGGAGATACTTATTGTTATTACCGATTGAGTTGACTTTTAGGGTTACATCTCATTGCAATAAATACATCTAAGAAAAAAATGGAAATCTGTCAACAATTTGTGTGAAACTTACTACCTTGTTGTTGTGCATTTTAAAGGTGGTACATCTTGTGTTTCTCTTAGGTGAGGGTCCTGAATGGCAAGACCAAAGAGCATCTTTGTTTTTTAGATAAGGTATGATAACATATTGGCATGTATTCACTTTTTCCCCCCTCATGTAGATGTAAAGTAACAACTCTTTAATAAAACTACTTAAATATTCCATTTATATTCTATTTTTTTTAATTGAGCATACATTTGACACTTTGCGCACAATTCAGCCTGTGATCATGTCTGTGTCATCTTCTCTTCGGATGAAACTTTAAATAAGCTCATTGGTGTAATAAAATACTTTGTGTTTTTATATTCCATTCAGGTTGAGCCTTATTCAACAATAGGAGACATTAAAAGCCTCTTCCACAAATCATGTAAGTGTTCATATGCCGTTTTTGGTTTTAAACTATCATTTGTTTGTGTTATTTACTGGCGTTTATGTTTTAGCTGAGTCCTGGACAGGGAAATTCCCATTTGTTGTGTAGAGTATAGTGCAATTTCATTAACCCAGTAAGATTTGTAAAGATGCTTGTTATCCAAGAATTTAATTTCAATTGATTTTGTATTATTGCATTATTTGTGTATTTTATTGCACAAAACGGTTAACTACTAGTTGAATTCAATCGAGTAGCTTGCCGAGCTATTGATTGACATATTTACAGTGCATAATGTCCAACCACTTCCCCAAACAGATGTTTTGTTAAAAAGCTATTCCTTCTTTACTCCTCTAACGCCCACATTGGTAACATTGTTTACCCTCACTGTGCATCTGGTCAAAAACGTTACCAAATATTTGCCGAACCTGATGCAAACAAAATCTATCAGCAGTGCTCAATGAGACTCCTTTGTGATCCATTATTGTTGGGCTTGAGGCCAACAAATCTGTGAGTGCCAGTTATGTGCAATCCTGTGTATCTGTGTATGTGAGTGTGTGTGTTTGATCCTCTCAGATCCTCACTGGTATCCAGCAAGACAAGCCCTGAGCCTTGACCCCAGTAAGTAGCCATATTGTGTCATTTTCATTTTTCATTCTTAATATTACAATAGCTCTTTACTGTTTTAATGCTGTTCACAATCTGAACTTCATCAACCACAATAATTCAAAGTATGTTATCTTTAACATGAATTATATATTATGTCGAACGATATGGAAAAAAGTAATCGTATAGTATGTCTGAAATATGATGAAAACATAAAATGTGAAAAGAATACTTGTTATATTATATCCAAAACATTGAGAACATATATACTAGAGACTCTTGAACAAATCACAATATAGAATGTTGATGATTTTAAAGATCCTGAATTAATAATAATGAAAAAAGTCATAGTATAATGTGTCAGTTAATGTGTAAAAGTCGTAGTACTGTGTCGGAAAAAATATATTAAAAAAAGTACAGTTTGTCAAAATATAATGGATTAATTAAAATGTAAAAAAAGTTATAGTCTGTAGAAAATATATTTAAAAAACAACGTAGTATAGTCTGTAGAAAATATATTTAAAAAACAACGTAGTATAGTCTGTAGAAAATATATTTAAAAAACAACGTAGTATAGTCTGTAGAAAATATATTTAAAAAACAACGTAGTATAGTCTGTAGAAAATATATTTAAAAAACAACGTAGTATAGTCTGTAGAAAATATATTTAAAAAACAACGTAGTATATCTGTAGAAAATATGCAAAAAAACGGCATGTCAAACATTTTTGAAAAATAGAAAAAGCATTCTATTTTAATGCAAATTATTTTAATGCAATAATTTAACGACATACTATACCACGCCTGGTTTCTACACACTATACCGTGCCTTATTTAGACATAAAATACCATGTTTATTTTTTGCATTTTTTCGACATACTATGCCATGCATTTTTTCTACATAGTATATTATGTCGTTTTTTGCCATTTTTATTGACATACTATACTACGCCTTATTTCGACCATGCCTTATTTCGATTTTTGTTTTATTATAACATTTACAAATTAACTTTGCTTTGCATATGGAGGTGAATGAAAGCCTCAAAAAGCGCCCCTCATCTTTACCGTCACAGTCATGTTTCCTATCATCAAACCTACATTTTAAAAAGGACCTACCGTGAGTTGTGATATTGTAGAGCAGGGGTCCTCAAACTTTTTCCTGTGAGGGCCACATAACTTTTCCCTTCTCTGATGGGGGCCGGCTCAGTTTGTAACAGAACAAGTGTGATGATCGCATGGGTGTCTAAACGTAAACACTTATTGTTTTCTAGAAAGCCACACATAACCAAATATTAATAACCCTCTCTGGGTTCTTCACAGAAAAAAAGTCAGGAAATAAATAATAACACTATTAATGAAATAAATAACACTATTTATGAAATAAATAATAACTAAATAACCCTCTCTGGGTTCTTCACAGAAAAAAAGTCCATTGAAAATGACTGTAACTTTCTGTTGTGCCGTGCACAATCTTAACAGGTGAAAGTTTAGCTTAGTTGTCAGAGCAGAATCTCTCAAAAATAAACGTGGATTTACGTAAAAAACACTATTTTTTCGGTGTTCGGGTGTTTTGTTTGATTTTAAACAAACAAAGTCTTGGCTTTCAGAATATGAAACTTTTATTTCCAATTTATTTCTCACTCGCAATCTGCTCTTCCGCAGCGCCGCCCCCCCCCCCCCCCCTCACTCCGCTGAAATTATGAATGTAAGAGTAATCATAGATAACACGGCAGGGTCCGTTACAGTTTGTTTTCATCTGATTTCAATTAAACAAAGTCTTGGCTTTCAGAATATTAAACTTGTTTCGGCAAATTCAGATGATAAATACAACTTTGAAGCTTCGGCATAATTACAAGCGGAGAACGGAGTAAGTTAACGTCACAGCAGGCATAACAACAGCCGGTGTTTCTCGTGAGTGTTTTCCCCGGGAAACAAACACAATACACACAAACGCAAAATTACACAAGCACACACACTCACACACGTATACACACACACTCGCGAGCTTCCCCTCCAAACGAAAATATCTTCCCTCGGTAGTATTTTGATAATTTGCTAATAACCAATCAGATCGATGGATTCCAGAGAAGAGACAACTTTGAAGGCCTTTTTCTCAAAATGATGACTCGGTGACAGTCATTATATAATGTGACATATTTCGCTTCATATTTTAAGTACAAAAACAATCCTGATATCATTAGAAAGCTAGGAATATCCTCTTTCCAACAGTGTATACAACTCAAAAGGTGTCTTCGGGTCAATGCGACTGATTTCGATAGAGCAGGTCACAACATTTGGACAGGGGCTAGTCTAGGATTCGCGTGGCCAGACTGAAAAAAAAATTGTTTTACATTTAAAAAAAAAAAAAAAAAAGATCATAATGCGTCTCTGGTATTGTTCAGGGGGCCGGGCCAAATGTGGAGGCGGGGCGTACCCGGCCCGCGGGCCTTACTTTGGGGACCACTGTTGTAGAGCTTTAATTAAATGAGGGCTATCTTGTTACTAAAAATAACAGGGTGGAGACGTTGGTTTGAAAGCAATCTGGGCCAGTTCCCCTAATGGTATTCTAAAAATGTCATCCAATTAGAGCAACATATTATCTGTGGCCATGCCCCCTGTGAGCTTCCAGGTAGAGGGAATGTGTGCTGGAAATCTGAACCGACACTCTGAAACCTCAGTTTAAGCCACACAACTTCTTAGATGTACTTCGTAATAATTTATTTCAATGTGATTGTTATTGGTAATTCTGTCAATATGGTCATTCCAGATAAAGATGTTTTCAGATAAAGTTGAATTTGTGTGCATAAAATATAAAAAATGTTTTGTTCTTCTTCCTTTTGTTCTTATAGAGGACAAATCACTCAGAGATGAAGACATTTTACAGAATCTACCAGTCGGGACTACTGCTACCATGTACTTCAGAGATCTTGGTCCACAGATAGGTTGGACTATGGTAAGAAGAGCACACTCATATATTACTGAAAGTTGAAATATGTCAGTGTCTGACCTTTCAAGTTCAAATCGATAATTAAGGCCGACAAAGATATAATTCATTTCATTCAACTTCATGTATACAGCACATTTCACACAGGATAACATGCAACAACAATTTATTCAAATGAAAATGACAGCATAACAATAAAACGTGCAGGATATCCAAGTTCCAAATCATATAACTCACACTTACTCAGGCAAGTTCAATTTATTTTTGCATATTACCTTTGTTAATACTTGTTTTGTTTCCAGGTGTTTCTGGCAGAGTGCATCGGGCCCCTTCTCACCTACCTCCTCTTCTATTTTCGTGTGCCGTACATTTACTCTCACAGATATGCCTTAACCTCTAGTCCTCATCAGGTTGTCAGGTAGGTTGTGGGTTTGCCTTGGGCAGCCGTTATCTCCCTTAAGGAGGGGCTGCCCTAGCATTTTGTTGTTGTTACCAGTTTATGACCGGGCAACTCTCTGTCAGAAATAGTTATTGTTATGGGACACCTGGAACACATCCTTCTTGGGGTGTAGATGACCCCGAGCCATAAGCGACAACAAATGTGATTCAGTGTCCCTCAGCTGTGTAGTCTATCTATTGAAGAATGTTGATTATTACACTCTGAACTAGTTAAAACGTCGAACCACAGAACGGTTCTTCAGAATTGATTTGGCATCTCAACCGTGTGGTCAGATCGTGGCCCGTGACATGTCTTGTCAGTTCTCCGGCCGAAGCTCCAAATAAACCCTCAGTGTTTGCCATCAAAGCCATCGTGTCTCTCTGAGTCCTGTTTCCAATTGCTTCAGAAGTTTCCCCCACAATTCCTAGTCATGGTGTTTCATCCAATGATGTATGTTTGGCACTTAGGGCAATTATAATCTCAAATGATACTGGTACTTCTGACATCCTCCCACCTCTCTCTCCCCCAGACTAGCCTGTGCCTGTCACACCTGCCACTATATGAAGAAATTGATAGAGACTATCTTTGTGCATCGTTTCTCACATGGGACCATGCCTCTCAGGACGATAGTCAGGGTGAGGACATGACCACACATGAAAAGATGAGCCTCTGACCGCATAATGACAACCTCTGATACAGAATGTCATTATTATCGGTCTTTTTTTAGGTGTGTTTAGTAGTTAAACATTTGAATTGTAAGTACATTTTAATTTACATCGACCAGTTCAAAATTGTTTCCTCTCTTAGAACTGTTCCTATTACTGGGGTTGCTCTGCTTGGTTGGCCTACTATATCAACCATCCACTTTATACACCTCCATGTAAGTCAGCCTACACACACACACACACACACACACACACACACACACACACACACACACACACACACACACACACACACACACACACACACACACACACACACACACACACACACACACACACACACACACACACACACACACACACACACACACACACACACACACACACACACACACACACACACACACTTTGCAAGCAGCACCAATCAACACCAGCTTATATTTCTTCACAGCATATGGAGAACTACAAGTCAACTATGCATTATTCATATTTATGGTAAGTACAGTACACTGAAATTCCACATAAACTCAATAACATTTACAATGTGTTTGTCAGTAAGGGTGCAAAATGCTTTTCTCTGTTAGATGTGTGAACTGGGAAACTTCTCCATTCACTTGACTCTAAATAATGTCAGAGCAGAGGGTGAGTTGTTGCATTATTCTGTTGACGGTGTCTAATCCATCGATTTAGAATGTGTTTGTGATAAATATATTAAAACCATTAATTGTCCCTGTTTGAATAGTTGCTTACTTCATGCTGAAAATATGTTTGGTTGATTCACCATTAAAACATGCTGGTGTCTAGAGTATTTTTTAAATGCTTACATTTTAAATGGTAACAAAATATGTTTTTGTCACAAACTATTTCTCAGGATCCAGGTGCAGAAGATTTCCAGCACCAACAAAGAACCCCTTCACATGGCTATTTTTCTTTGTTTCCTGTCCAAATTACACATATGAGGTAATCAAGAGCCTTTCAAGTCGTTCATCATTGCAGATAGTATTGCCCAGGCTTGTGTGTTTACCTCTCTGCCTGTATTTTTGACACATACTCTAGGTTGGATCTTGGATGAGCTTTTCCATCATGACCCAGTGTCTGCCAGGTATGTTCAGTAGTATTGCAGCAGTACATTATGTTTTATTGGCCGAAATCCACTTGTGTATTCTCTACTTGTATGTTTTGTTTTCCAGTGGCATTGTACACATTACTGGGGTTCCTTCAGATGGCCATCTGGGCCAAAGGGAAGCACAGAGCCTACAGCAGGGAGTTCAAGGACTATCCCAGCGTCCGGATGGCCATTATCCCCCTGGTTCTCTGATTTTGATCAAAACGAACTATTGTAGCATACAGTAATGTATTTTCACAGTCCTCAAGGGTTTTGCACTAAAACGATGTTTGCTGCTGCTAAGGAAAATACTATGCAATATATTTTATATATCTATGTACTGAAAGGGGTAGGAATGTAAGCAATAATATTATAGCAATATACTGGAACATTGAAAAAATATAATATGTTCATTTTTTGTTAGTTTTTCCCAGTGAGTATTTATCATTACAAGCTGACTTATTAACCCACAGGTTGAGACACTTATTTTCAATGATACATGCTTGAAGCACTAAAAGCAGTTCAAACCGGAGAGATGTGATGTAAGGAATACATATTTATTGTTTACACGTCATATGAATGAAATGATTGCCATGATAATACAACAGGAGAATGTAATGGTGTTTGGCGATTAGGCCCCGGTTTGCAGGATAATCATTCAGGAGGGAAAGAACCGCTCCGATGAAATCCCCGGGGTCTAGACACTGGTGGTGGTGATGAGTTGGTGAGACCGGTCTGAAGAAGGAAGGTTTAGCTTTGTCCTGGAGGAGACGGGAGGCGAGAGGGGTGGAGGCGGGTTGCGTGTGGTCATCTGCAATGACCACATGTGCGTGTGGTCATCTACCATAGCAACAAGAGGATTGTAAGAAAAAAAAAAGAAAGCATTAGCTGTATTTCACTAGCAGAACATCTTGAAAATAATTGTGATGCTTCAATAAAAGCTGCATCAATAAAGTGCTAAGAATATTTAGTGCTTATTCTGCAAATCTGTAGAAGGCAAAACAAATATGGCGTCTGAAAGCAAATGAAAAAGAAACACGGAACCTTCATGCTTTCTCCACATTCCCATCACAACATGATATTGAACTTTTTTGTACACGTAAGCAATCAAAGTCACGGACCCTGTTATATAAATCAAGTTCTGTGTTTTAGTTTGCAAGGCCTACAAGGTGAGCAAGACTTGGAACATAAAGCACGCACATGCGCCACACTTTCCAAATTCCAAAGCCCATTTACTGCATTACTGGAAAATAAAAGTATTGCAACATGTCAAATCAACAGTCAAATATGACATATATGATCATGTCCTACATAGGGCTGCTTCAATCACAAACTGCATTTCAAGATCCAACCAGTACAGTAATGGATCAACAAGGACTGCCCCACTCAAAAGGCTCCTCCAATGATGTGATATACACCCTTTTTTTGCTCAAATATGAAGGCATAAGTCACTTGTCTCCAACAGACCCTGGCAGGAATGTAGAGATTCTTCTTTTGACTGTTTTATTTGAAAAGGAGGTTCAACTTTCATTCTTCCAAAGCATCGTCCTCTAGTTGAACTCATGAAAGTAAGTTCACTTCTTCAAAGGCTTGAAGGGTATTGCTTCAATATATCGCTGTGCCCCAGCAGCTTTTGGATGCAACACGATGGCTTCGTCCTCTCTAGACTGTTGCTTGGCGAAATTCACAAAAACCTACAGGGAAATACATAGAAAAAATATGATGAACCTATTTCCCTAAGACAAATAAACAGCTGCTGTGGGTTTTGGCAAATTTCCATTTCATAATTGATCATGTTTCAATATGCTCATTTACCTGGTCGAGAGTGGTTTGGGACACTGAGTAGTCCTCTATGTTGAGCTTGTCTTTGTTAGCTAGGACCATTTGAAAGATCTTAGCCAGGGAGGAGAAGGACATCTTGTACTGCAGAGTGTTGTGGTGTTTCTCTCTCTGTATGCAGCCGGGGAAGGTGCTCTCCATGAAGGCTTCAGCGGGGGTCAGGTCTGGGGAACAACCAGGTTTAGCTGCCCTTATCTTCATGGTCACCACGTAGCCGTCACCAAACCTACAGTAACATTGATGTAAAGAAACGAAAAAATCAAAACACTTTCCGAAAATTCTAATTGGTTCATTAATGTTTCAGGAATATAATTAGAAATGTTGATACATGATATGGAAGTATAATGACTAACTTGTATTTCAGATGCTGAATAGTTCCCAAACACTTAAAGGATCCATTAACCATAATTGCTAAGCGGGTACATAGCGCCTCACATTCCTCCATACTGTAAAGAAAGATGGTGGAATTAGAATTCAATGAAATGCATTCACACACACACACAGTCAGTTAGCCACACTAGATAGATTACCTATGTGAGGTGAGGACCACAGCACGTCCGTCTTGAATAACACTCATGATGGAGTTCCACAGGAAGCGTCTGGAGAGAGGGTCCATGCCTGTAGTGGGCTCATCCTTATGTGATTACAAAAAATACATTAACACACACATAGCATATTAACTACCACATCTCTTCGAATCCAAACAAAACAATGGCGAGCGTTGGTCTTACCAGTAGCACCAGCGCAGGGCAGCCTATCATGGCGATCGCTGTGGAGAGTTTTCTCTTGTTACCCCCGCTGTAGGTCCCAGCACTTTGGCTGGCATACTCTGACAGACCCAGTTTCTGAATGGCCCACTCTGCAACCTGCGCATGTGGAGGATACTATTAGTACCTTATTTTACAATTAGGTCAAGGACTACTTGTCAGGTTTAAATATTGAAAAGACATTATTCATACTTTGTAGTTTCTAATAACACAGGGTTTCTAACCTATCTTTCATTCTTTAAAACACTATAACATTATGATGATGATATTTAAATGCTTTATATAAGGGTAGCACAAGCTTGACAACACATATGTTCATATCTGTGGATCTATTTAGGCATTACTCAAAATATATACTCTAGCTTCTTTAATGCCCCACTACTGGTCTAATTCTTTCTCAAAATAGATGTACCTTTTTTGGTTTATCTTCATTATTTTAATAGTCTCTATTATAAGATATCGCTCTTTTTTTTTACTCATCATATTTCTCCTTTGCAGTGCTGCCTACAACTGTCAGGTGCAGCTTTAAATGATTTATTTCGTGGCAATAGCTGCGCCTCACCCTGCTTATCTCAGACTCTGGAACTCCACGCAGGCGAGCGTAGAGGTGGAGATGTTCTCTGCCTGTTAGCAGCTCATCTATGGCATCAAACTGTGGGCAGTACCCCATGTTCTGGTGGACATCCAGGATGTTGGTCAGAATGCTACAGATTTAGGAAGAAACACTTTGGGTGAAATGTTTGTTAAATTAAAATGTGTTCTTTCTATTTGTAAAAACAATTATTACAGACCTGTGACCAGCAACTGAGGCCTTTCCTGAGGTGACATCAATGTCTCCAGTCAACATTTTAAAGGTTGTTGTCTTCCCTGCTCCATTTACCCCAAGTAGACCAAAGCACTGGAGGAAAAAACATGAAAGATAAACAATGAATATACAGAATGCTTCCTCTGTGAAGTAAATTGCCTCAGTGTGTTTTATCACACAAACCTGTCCAGGTGACACTGCGACACAGATTCGATCCACTGCAGGGATGATTGTTCCTGTGTATGTCTGGCAAGGCAAAATGAAAACTTTTTAGACATAAATCCTTCGTTTAACATACATTTTAGCAACCAAACAAGTCTTACCTTGGACAGGTCTCGTACGCATAAGATGTCATTTGTTTTTTCACACTTATAGAGTCGATCTCGTTCCTCTGCCACATCTAGATCTTCATCCACAATAGGAGGCCTGGTGCAATCTGACATCCTGCCAATGGAAGAAGTGTTTTGTTATCACACTCAATGTAATATCAAAGAACAATTATCTTTGCTCTATCAGTTCCCCAATTTAAGCTCTACTACGCTTACCAGTGATCCAGGCGGAAGCGATACTGAAACAGAAGGTTCAAGATGAAATATAGAAATCCTTCAACAGCCATGCAGAATAGGTTCTTCCCCAAGAAGTCCCAGTTATAGGGGTCCGGCCTGTAGTCCTCACCTGAGGAAATACAAACCACATGCACACTTTTCAGTCATATTTTCTGCCATTCTGTTAACAAAAGTTACAATGCAAGGTAAAAAGAGGGATTGTATTTGTATTGGTATATTTCATATGTTGTCCTATTTGGTGCAAACGGAGGGTTTACGACTGCAGTTTGCTGGTCCTTGATGGCACATGTAAACTATCAGATTTGTTATGCAGCCATTTAGCCAGAATACATTCAGACTGTCGAACATTGGGAGGTTTTTGTTGCTATAAGTATTTGATGGATGTAACATGTACGTATGAGCATGTGTGTGTCCTTACCAAAGCGAGCATAGATATCAGTCACAGCCTGGTTCATGGCCATGTCTATGAGACCTCGGCCCAGGCAGTAATGTGGGAAGATGAGCAGCACAGTCTTTAACATCTGGTTGAACCTGTACAAGGCCTGTAAAAGAAATCCAAATTAGGGTGCTATGGAAGATGCATGCAAGATGGCATTTACAGTAACATGCCCTGTGTTCTTACTGTGGTGCCCTCAAAGAGGTCCAGGATGAAGGTGATGGCACTGCTGTTGATGCCAATGAAGAGGTTGATACATGACAAAGAGACGTATGCTGTGCTGGGGACGCTGAATGCAAAGGACATGGGGTACATCATGGGCGTCACAGACCAGCTGAGAGAGAAAGAGAGAGAGAGAGAGAGAGAGAGAGAGAGAGAGAGAGAGAGAGAGAGGAAAAAAGCATTAGGTAAGCCCAAAGAATGTCGCAAAAAGCAAAGCTACTAAGATTGAGATTTTAAAATGAGCCATTATTTTACATTCTTTGTTGTCAAAAGAATTCAAACACTTACCCATAAAGCATTAGCAAGGAAATAAGTGGCTGGATGTTGGTTGGTGAGGTGTAGCACTTCTTATCAAAAAATATGAATATTTCAACCACCAACGCTGCACTAATGGAGTAATTCAACTGTAAAAAACAATAAAACAATAAGGATATGCATGCTCCAGAAGATGGGTCAACAAAGTTCTCTTATGAGCAAACTGCAAAAAGCCAATTTACATTTGGGTGTCTTTAAATGTGTTGTTCTTAAAAAACATGATTGCACATCTTACAAGGTAAAAGGGTCACTGTACCATGTCCCAGAGGAAGTTGGCCATCCAGTACACCAATGGACTGACACCACTGACAAACTGCAGGTGTTTGGCCTGGGTAACCCTCTCCTGGATTAAATAGAGCACGAAGCTGGCAGGAACGAAGGACATGGCAAAGATGACACAGATGGCCACCACTGCATCCACTGAGGTGGTCAGGCTAGGGAAAGAAGAGAGGAAAGTTATTAGAGACACTTAAAGAAAACGGAATACTTGACCTGCTTCACAAGTATTACAACCTGGTGACACTATTTCTTAGAATAGTTTTTAGTTTTCCTAGCAAATACCCAGAAAGGTTTTACATTTTGAAATGTAATCTGATCTGTCCAGCCATTGGTGACTCACACAGTGATTTCAGACAGCTGTTCTTTGGTGAGGTTCAGAGGGTGGTTGATGGCAGTG